TCCTCATGTTCCTGTTCCTGCCGCGGTGCATAGGAAAGTACCTGGTTTTTGTTTACATTTTGCCGCGGTGCATCGGAAAGTACCGGGTTTTTGTTTACATTTTGCCGCGGTGCAACGGAAAGTAGCCGGTGTTAACGAAAAGTTCCTGGGTTTGTTTACATTTCTTGCTGTATGCACAAAATCAGCAAAATTACTGCCCTGCTTCGGGTTTTCCAAATAACCTCCGGGTTTTCACAAAAACCAATCAGGTTTTCAGAAAAACCTTCCGGGTTTTCCAAGAAACCGGGTTTTGTTTACATTTCTTGCTGCATGCACAAAATGTTCTCAGAGACTGTCTTGCTCCGGGTTTTCCAAATAACCTCCGGGTTTTCAGAATAACCACCGGGTTTTCCAAATAACCGAAAACCATTAAAACGTAAAGTACCGTTTTTTTTATTATTATTAATTAATTCCTGAATGCGGAAATTTTGCTCAGCTTCATCCACAGCTTCTGTAGTGTGGTGAAATATGAAAGGAAAAAATCTATTGATGGGGCTGAAATACTGTGGGTGGCAAAATGGTGCGTCTTGAAGACTTTACCCATCACCCATAGAAAACTGCCGTCATCCTTGTCAGTAGCAGCAGCAGCATTACTGTGAAATACTCGTTCGTATGTTAGGTTTCCTTTCTACTGACTTACCTGTAGGAATATTTTAATGATACATCAGTCATGGATCAGTAGGTTTGGGGGGGGGGAGCATACACAGACAGCAATGTGACCTCATAGTCCTGTTTTAAAGGAGAAAAAGCTATGACATGTGCTGATAAAATATTCTTGGGCTATCAGCCATGTCTGACGATAGGGATAGAGATATCCGTGCAACATCAGTGATACTTAACCAACTGACACGGCTGAACGCCAGAGCAGATTTCATCCACTGCAGATGCCATGGAAGCTTCATATCTTGTGTTTAACGTGAGGTTTACACTGTAGATAAAAGGTAAAGCAGGGTAATTTTATTTCAGATGTACACAGTATTTGTTACATGCCACAGGAAATTGAAAATGTGACTACCCATACATGAATAGACAGCTTATAGCATTTTTTCTGAACAGGTATAAAAAACTGGCACTTTTGATATAATATCACTGTTTGAGACAAAAGTTATGGTTGCCGTAAGTATTCTGTTTTCCACGTAGTGATGTGATACAATGGCAAGTGTGCTCTGTACACAGGACTATACTTCCATTTATGAACAAGAAATATTGGCACACTACAATACAGTAATTGTGTTGTACTGATTAAACTGAACTGTGAACAGTTCAGATGAATTATTTTATATAATGAAATTATTTCTCAGAGCGCTGTTTGAACAAGTCTTCATCACAGTAGCAAGTCTGTTAGGAAATCTGTACAAATTAATAAGAAATGGCAAGTCTACCACTGCAACCATTTGAAGGTGTCAGCCTCACGCTTCAGTGGCCCTGCCTGGGCTCCAGCAGCACGTGGCCACCTAAACTTTACAGTTAAACTTTTAATGCATTCAAATATATTATGAAATTAAAACATTTTTATATAATTTTTCCTAAAGATGATATACATTTAAATACTACACGAAATGAAACTATTTTATTGTATCTTTCTGAACAGGCTACTGACCAATAAGGAAACAAAATCTTCAGTTTCTTTTGATAGGTGTGTCATACCTTTTGACTGAAAACCATTTACTGAAAAATTAATCACCTATAGTAAGGACAGATAGTAATAACCATCAATAACCATAAGCAGACTGCTCTGAGTAAGAATGTTACAAACTGAAATCAACTCCGTACATAATTCCAACCTTGCAAGTAACCACACTAACTGAACACATTCTTCATGCACCTAATGGAGTGGGTGTACATGTTCCAATTATTTCATGAAGAAATACCTAAATGTAACAACTTTTGTAATAATGTGATTTCAAGTTAATTTCTATTAACAAAGACTAAAACATATTGAAACTGTCTTAAATAATTAGGTGGCTGGAATATATGTCACTGAGGTTGTCAGTTTACAGTTATACATTTCTGATATCAAGCAAATGTAAGTTTGGGAACACATGGAGTCCGTCTGTGTACCTTCTTATATGAAGATTAGTAACACATCAGGATTACAATTCAGATTTCAGATAATGTCCAGCATTGACTTATATATTAATTTTTGGTTCAAATGCTCATCACCACCTCCGAGTAGATGCCTTAAGATCAGTTTTACACAGTTTCATGACCTGATATTATTACTGACCGAATCTGTGTATCTTTTGATTTTTCATATACCTACAGAGGACTAATCTGATTTGTCTCATTCTGGTCCGTCACACTATTAATTACAAAGTTGATAATTTTGAGTCCAGTGTGACATATAAGTTTACAACCCTTCAGTCTTTATTCACTTTACATGTTTTGATTCAAAAGAATCATCCTCAGAGGCGCACCACTACGATCAGGAAAGACTGTCACATAAGAAGTTTTAACAATATGCACTTAAGCTATGAATAATGCTCACTATATGATTTTTTTTTATCACAGTTAGTTTTGATGTTTGCCTTAAGCATTCACGATAACGCTTCTTGAAGTGTAGATTTACATATGATGCTGTTTCGTTTAAGCATATTGCTGGGTATTCTGATTGGGATTTTCCATTGCATGCGATGTGATGTTAACTTTTCCATACAGTATATTCCCTATGTATTTAAAATTGCATTAACAATTTCTTTTGCATGTAAAAAAATTAGTTAATATGTTAAAATATCATGAGCCAACATTCAGTTGTGTTTTCCTCCTGATGGTAAACGTAAATCTACACATCAAGAAGAGTCATCGTGAATGCTTAAGGCAAACATCAAAACTGTGATAAAAAAAAAACTTATATAGTGAGCATTATTCATAGCTTAAGTGCATATTGTTAAAACATCTTATGTGACAGTGTTTCCTGATCGTAGTGGTGCGCCTCTGAGGATGATTCTTTTGAATCAAAACATGTAAAGTGAATAAAGACTGAAGGGTTGTAAACTTATATGTCACACTGGACTCAAAATTATCAACTTTGTAATTAATAGTGTGACGGACCAGAATGAGACAAATCAGATTAGTCCTCTGTAGGTATATGAAAAATCAAAAGATACACAGATTCGGTCAGTAATAATATCAGGTCATGAAACTGTGTAAAACTGATCTTAAGGCATCTACTCGGAGGTGGTGATGAGCATTTGAACCAAAAATTAATATATAAGTCAATGCTGGACATTATCTGAAATCTGAATTGTAATCCTGATGTGTTACTAATCTTCATATAAGAAGGTACACAGACGGACTCCATGTGTTCCCAAACTTACATTTGCTTGATATCAGAAATGTATAACTGTAAACTGTAAACCTCAGTGACATATATTCCAGCCACCTNCTTTTTATAAGATTTTTAACCACCTTCCACTGTTTTTGATTAAAGTTGTTTTTAATTTTTCATCCTTTACATGTCTCAGAAGGATTTTATCAACACACATGGAAACTAATGTTACCATGTCATAGATATAAATGTTATGTCTTTTAACTAATACTAAGATGTACATTAGGTTGTTAAAACATCTAAAATTATTACAGAAGTGTAACATCATCAACCAATTTGGTTCTAGAATAAAACAAATATTGAACATTATTTTGTAAACAGAATAATTGTAATAATTTTTAGATTTTTATCAAATCAATACAGAGTGTCCCAGGAGGAGTGCCATACTTCGGGAGGGTGTTCCTTAAGTTAAAGTATGTCGATATAACCCAAAACACCTATGTCCAAAGTTGAACGGTTACGGAGATAATGGCCCGAGAAAAGTGTGGCCTTCAGGCAGGTCCATGCACTGTACCTGTCAGCTGACAAGTCTTATCAATGTTTGTCCTTGAGTGTGGTGATGAGACTTCACACTAGCTGCATACAATCGCATACCAGAATGCACAGTCAGCCATCAGTGCTTGCCATTCATGTGTCATGTATACTGCTTGGAACCCTAACGACAACTATGACATAGCATGCGAGTTTTTTTGTAATTCAATTTAATGGCTTCCTGTCACTCACAAGGTAGTTTGATGTTACATACATTATTAACATTAGAGAAACCACATATTCCTGCCAGTTTTAATATGTATTTGGTAATCAACAAGTGTGTAACACCTATCAAAGTTTCACACTTCTCTGGCCATTATCTCCATAACCGTTCAACTTTGGACATAGGTGTTTTGGGTTATATCAGCATACTTTAACATAAGGAACACCCTCCCAAAGTCTGGCACATTCCTCCTGGGACACCCTGTATACATCTTAATATTAGTTAAGAGACACAAAATTTATATCTATAACATGGTAACAGTAGCTTCCACGTGTGTTGATAATATCCTTCTGCAGATGGTCATTTTGACTGAAACATGTAAAGGATGAAAATTAAAAACTTTTATCAATCGGACTGGACGGTGGTTAAAAATCTTATAAACAATTACTAGTGTGATGAGCCAGGATGAACCAAGTTACTTTTATAACTCATTACAAATGTTTCAATAATATATCAGTGGTGCTTTACAATGTTTTGCAGTAGACTGTACATCTGATTCTGTTGCTTGTATAATTTTACAGCTTTTCATACAGGCCTACCACTGAACAAAGGTTTTTTCATCTTTTGGAAGGATACGTGTCACAACGTTCAGTGGCCAATTTGCAAGCTTGAATGCAGCATGGATGGGGGGGTGTACAAATATTGCTACTGCAATCAAGAAAGGCCACATATATAATTACTTCATGTCCAATTTAGTTCAGAGGTGGTTCATCTGGCTCAGGTCCTATGAACACGCAACTGCTCTCTAGAAATTGTACTTTTCAGCTTACAAGTGCACAGCTGGCACAGGAGAACCTCTGTACTCATTTGAATGTGACATGAACTCTGTAGCCTTCCTTCCAGTACATACAGGCACTATCAGCAGCTGCAAGCTGTGTCTTACTTAAATATAGAGATGATATTCCACACAGTAACAAACAATAAAAATATAAGTCCACACTAAATTTCAGAGTTGGTGCCAGTGTATTTCACGAAGAATTTGCAGTCTTGTTTTCAAGATGGTTGCCCTGAAAAAGAAAGAAACAAAGAAAATGTAGTAATGCTCATGTTAAACTAGCAGATTTCACAAAAACCTCACAGTTGGTTTTCTTTTTGAGAATTAAATTTCATATTCTGCATCAAAAACAGAAATTTTTAGTGAAACTTCACAGTACCAAGAAGGAAAGTCTTAGTGATCAATCCATCATTAAAATGACACTTTATGGTCTACAGTTGAGAATTATAACAAGACAAGTGACACGCTCAGAGAAGAACAAATATTTACTTTGCGGCAGTACAATCAGCAGGTGATATTACTGACATTACTATATGGCTTCTCGTCTACTCAACCTTTCAGTTGAAGCTATCAATTACTGTTATTTGCAGTGTCAAGATTAGANTAAAATAAAAATGAATCTCATTGAGCCTGACACCTCAGATGGGGCACAGTTTGTTTGCCACTAAACATGCTGAAGTGTCTGCAGCACCTGTCACTGATTATCCTAACAGCTGGCCAAATTTTAAGTTAGTCTGCTGCTTGAAGTCATCAATTTCCCACAATTTCCAACCCATGGTCTCTGTCTATGTCTGCTAGCCTAATGACAACTGAACAAATATGCTGTGTGTTATATGGGCAGGCTCCATCTGTCTTGCAGCAAAATTGCTGTATTCGCTTCTGTCCCGAGACTGAAGCTACTGTGTATGTTTGTAGTCAGCAGAAAATGAAAGCACAAAAATAGTGGATGGATATCTATCTGCTATATGGAATCATGGACAAGCAATGATAACTACAATTTACTTCCTTATGGAGCACAATTTAGAAATAGCATAAAATTGTTTCACAGTCTCACGTGAAGCACGTCCTTCTGTAAAACTTTCTGAAAGTCACTGATTACATGTTTCGAACTATAAGGTCATCAGGTGTTTTAAAATTATAAATGAAGAAACTGCTGTGCTTCCATATTGTGGTTGCTGGCCATTACTGTGTGAGCTCTTCTGTGCGCATGTACACATGAAGTGGCAGGTTGCTCTGCCCGCTGTGTTACACAGCATAACACAACAGGAAGAACAACCCGCCAATTCGTATATACATGCGCATAGAAGGGACCACACAGTAACGATGCACAACCACAATATAGAAGCACAGTAGTTTCCTCATTTATAATTTATAACTTTAAAACACCTAATGATGACCCTATAGTTCGAAACCTGTAGTGAATAACTTTTAGTAAATTATATAGAAGGACGTGCAGCACGTGAGACTGTGAAACCATCTGATACTAAATGAAGTGCAGCAGGGTGTTACAATATAGTACTAGTTACAAATAACAGCTCATGACCAGGTCTGGACCGATACTGACTCCTTCCTGTTCATTCTTCTTCATTTGTTTCACTACTTTCTTTCTGCCAGGTCCCTTTCTATGAAATTTATGAGACAGGTTTCTGAAATTAGAAAGAGAGACAACATTAAAGTCACTGTATTTTAGGATCTTACAGAATGTAATTACAGAATTACATGTTTCCATGTAAAACGGAACACCCTTTCATCCTGAAGTTCCAGCCAGAAAATAGGGGTATGATCCATATTTCATCCAATCTGTTATTTTGTGAAATTATAAAAATATTGTAACATGTAACATTCTGTTTTCCAACACAACTTACTCATACAGCCAACAACCAAAAATTGGCATGCTACAGCACCTTAAAGTCACAGAGATTGAAATGATTAACGCAAAATATTTTAATAAAAGTACGTGGGACAGTAATAATTTTGAGGCATGTTTCTTCTTAATTCATTCAACCTATCTGCAAAATGAACCATTCTGCCACATTCTATGCCTACACAACAAACTGTATCAAGTACAAAGTATTTACACACCCAAATGTCACAATACGTTGGCTACTTAGAAACTGTCACATACAAAATGGGAGAAAAGGAAGTCAAACAACACATATATAACAAAATGTTCTACTGAAAGCATCTGAGGTGGAGACAATAATCTCAACCCCCATGATAGGGTAATCATGATAGTCCTGGTAAGCAAAGGGACCCTACATTTTAACATGGGAGGGGGGTATCCTTTGTATTCCCAAAGCTTTAACTCTGGTAGATGTGAAGGCATCATCTGAGAGCAGAGAAATCTGTACTCAGATGTCACCAAGGATAAAACTCAGAACCTTCTGAATGGGTATAACAGCTTACCCCAGGACCTTCTTCTTAAGGACCCTACTCTAAGTGGCTCTAGTGTTGCTCCCAGCTCAGTTGCCATGTTAATATGGCTGATGGTAGACAACTGAAAGAACATGGGAAATGGCACAATGAAAATGCAGAGTTTCACATAAATCCATCAGTTGGTTCACACATTTAGGTGAGGATGGCACACATGGATGATATATACAGTGGTCCCATAATCTTGTCTGTTTCCACAGAAAAGCCGCTTCCTCCTTGGAATTTTTCTTAAAATGGCAATTACTATGAAAACTTTATTTTCCCCTAAAGAATGTGCTACCAATCGACAGGCTATACTCCACCTTGTAAGTCAACTGCCATTCCTTGAAAATGCTTATGTACTTTACCACTTTATATGGCATTTTATTCCAGAAGACACCATTTGTCAAGAAGAAGAAGAAAAAGGCTCTACCATTTCAACTATCACATTCTTAGTGTATAGAGGGCTTTCATTTCTAGGACCTTTCATTAGATGTTTCCAGTTCTGTACTCAGTTCAGTAATTTATATATCCATTATCATGAAATTCAACTGTAATTAAAATATATTCTAACTCTGCTGCAGCTGCAGTAAATAACTGTAGATGGGCAATGAACTGTATCCAGTGTTGACACATGCTAAACCAAAGTGCCCTTACCAAATCTGCAAATGGTTGTATTGCACTCACAAGTAGTTCCTGAATGTACTCATCCCTGTTGCCAGCCAGACCATACGTGGTGATGTCACCCAATGTACGGCGGAATTCTGCTGTAGCATGCAGCACAATGGAACCGCCTTCCATGTTTCCTTCCCAGTTTCTCTCCAGTACTGACTCTACCACCTACAAACATCACAAATCACAAAGAGTTAAATTATGTAGCTATACACCATTCTGTTTTTTAGTATCCATAAATGCAAATCTGTCCCTATGCTTAATTATACACTAGTTGGAGGTGAGTGGCCAGTTCCATGCCCTCCCACACCTGGGGAAAGTGCCCCTGGTACCTATTTGACAGAAGGCCATAACAGGTCTCAATAACAAAATACGAGAAAGGATCTATCCCTGTAACAGGCCGTGGAGGGCCATAGGGGTGTGAGATGTTGAGGCTTCCATATTTTCTCGGCAGTTGGCTCACAGATGGCGGTGAGGTTGTCAACCTTACGTTCCCATCACCCTTTATCCCCAGGATGATCCCTGGTACTCATTTCTATTAGAGGCTGAATCCACCCCATAGTACAGCAGGAAGGATTCGGTCAGTTTAAAAATCCAATTACCTCACTGGAAATTGAACTGGCAACCTTCTGGTTCATAGCAGAGTAAGAAAGGATGATGATTTGACTTAAATGTGACAATATGATTTGCTGGTTTGCGGGCCACCATAACAGACTGTGAGATAAACAATTTAATAGCCCTGAAGTTAAATCACAACACAGTTTCTCCACAGTACAATGGTTTTGTATAGTAACCAAAGAGGAAACATCACAATGAACTTTACTACAAAGTTCTGCGCAACATTTTATAACTGGAACATATGGAGACACTGTGTAGAAACTAAACATGGCACAGGATTCTGTAGCTAGGGACAATTTCATCACCTCCCACCACCTATCCATAGGGCTGTTCCTCTCTTGTCTCAGGCAGGTGAGGGGTAGATGGACTTGACTGATAAAGAGAAATGTCCCCTACAACAGAACAAACATTTGTGAGGATTAAAAAGGAAATCTTCCAATGTGATGTACCTTTTCTATATTGTTCTTTGATTCTGTAACAGCCTCCTGCAGGTTCGGTTCGCTGTCATCGGGCTCAATCTTGATGTTGGACAGTACCTCTTCTGGCGCTGAAAGTTGTTTCCGCTTATTAATAACATTCAAAACTGCTCTTGCACCACATTTCTTTTCATTTCACAATTCACTTCGTAGTGGAAACTATATAGCATCAAATGGCTGATGATTGGAAAATAATGTATTCAGAAGTCTTGATGGTCGTCACCTGATTAGGGATACTAATTCCAGCTAGCATTTGCCTAGAGGTACTGTGAGAAACCATGAAAAACCTACGTCACGTTAACCAAATGTTCCAGGTGAGATTCATGAAGTTCATGAACACATGAACTCAGTTCCCTTTTTCTGAGTTCCAATTGTGGTGAATTCTCGTTGTAATGCAAGTAACATGCGTCTGTACTTACGGTCCAAATGGGCGTGTTTTTCATCTCTTCTTGTTGCAGTTCAATAATTTTTTGTGCTTATCTGTGTTCTATTAAGGTCTTTTGCAATTGCATTTTAAATTTATCACAACAAGCACTCTTTACTTCACTTGTTTCATTACTATTATTGATGAAAATTGGAGTGTCATCAGCTGAACGAACCGCCATTTTGGATGTCAACACGGTGATCGATCTCTTGGGAATTACTTCTTCAGTTCATAATAATTTTAACACCAAAATTATTCAACTTACAAAATAAATGATGCTCACCATCACACAGCTCTCGTATGCTGAGTTCCATTAAAATACAAGAACAAAAACAGAGTTAATTTTGACCTTTGAACAAAGATAATGAAATATTTGTGCATTTTTAACTACCTTGATAGCGTGATAGTTGAAACTACATCCTCAGCCAAAACATATATGTACATCTCTAGTTGCATAAATAAATACATGCAACATGGATATTTTACTTATAATTATCACATAGGAAAATATGACCTCAAGTCTGAAGTATGTAAAAGTAAAGTTGTCCCTATGCTTAACTAATTATTCACTGTGGCATGAAGGTGTATGGGGAGTGGATTTTAATTTTGAGAAGTTAGTTCAGTTTGCTGAAGAATTAAAATTCTAGTCATGAATTTTCTTTCTATTTCCATGTGATAAATACTTAATGTTTATTTCATGTGTTTACAGCATAAACAAGAACAATTATGAGTTAATTGTGGACATGATCAACAGAGGTCTGGTTTTGCATCACAGTAAATCACCATGGGGTAGAACTTCGTAGCAGACAAGAAGGTAAAGTTTGCCTTCACACACAATATTCACTATATCAATTTCGTAGTTTCCTGTAATACGAGTATATGTAATCATTATGGTGTTTTGTTTATTTTAAAGTCGTTCAAATACCATGTCCCAGACTGATATTTTCACGAGTTAACAAATATATTTGCTCACATGTTGATGTCTATGTCAGGGTGGGGGGAACATCACAGGAGAGGGGGAAACACGGTAACTACTGCCTCTATGAATGATGGAAGGTACCTCACACAGATCTCGACCAATCAGAGAGCCTAAACCAGGGGGTTGCAACTGAGATAGGAGAAAGGGAAATACGGTAACTACTGCCTCTCTGAATGTCGGAAGAAACTTCACGCAGGTCTCGACGGTCTCGACCAATCAAAGAGCCTAAACAAACCAACTTGAATACTCATAATTACGTGCGGTTATGGTGGTGCGTTGTATGTAAATTGGTAAGTATGAATTTTGATTTGCTGTGGTTGCGAAACGAAAGTAGACATTTGCGAACGAAGTTACAGCTCCATATTAAACATATTATTTGTGTATATGAATGTTATGCCTACTACCACAAATGAAGTTAGAAACACATAAATTCTTTCAAGCCTAAAATTTTTTAGGTTATTATGAACTGTCATCTAAGCGATATTTGTTTTATGATATGTTCTGCAACTTTCGGTTTATCACAAAGATTGTCTGTTGAATGTGAAGGAGTTCTAAGAGTACCGTGATGGTGTTATAATTTTTGTATTGCTTCCTGCAGTATAAACATGAAAACGACATGTGCTGCTGCTGGGTGCTTGTCATCCAGCAAGCAAGGCATCAAATTCTTCAGCTTTCCAAGGGATCCAGCAAGGTATGTCTGTTTTAATTCATGGTGTAATTACTTTATTATGTGTTGTGTAATCCTTTAAAATGTTGGCAGTGCAACCATTACCAAGTAGCCACCCACTTTTGCAGTGAAAGAAACCTCGTTTCTCATAAGCCCTGTAAATATAAATGCTTCTGATGTGGAACTCAGGCATATCAATCATTGCAGCAAGCCACAACACTGTATTGGCTACAGGTAAGGACCACTGCTTGTGTGAATTATGTTCTGTTATGAAAGAATTGGCTAGCGAGAATAATGAGAGCTAATTTTTTAAGTAATTGTCCCAAGAACCCAGTTGTGATCAAACAAATGTCATTGTCATCATCATTCATTACTTATGAAACTACATCAATATACACTTTTATTATAAATCTTATTTTACTGTCTTATGTGCAACTTTTTAAGTTTTAAATTTTAAACTTAAAGTTAATAAATAGTTTCACATAAGACTGTAAAATGAGATTTATAATAAAATGGAGAGTGCAATAGGATGCTACAATACAATCTTATCAATACAAAAGTTATGTAGGATATGTCAGATGTTTTTAGAGTAATTAAAAATCTTTGAAAAGCAGATCACACTATCAGCAATATGATTTATGAGAGAATAAGCTGGTAAAGACTTTACTATGAGGAGTAATTTAATGAAATATACAAAATCTTTATAATGGCAGTCCCTTTAAAGTAAAATGAGTTATTTTGAAATCTGAAGAAGTCCATCATGTAAAGAAGCCCACTCATTTCCTTTTTAATGTTCTTTCAGGAGAGTGCTGTGGTGAATACTTGGCAACAGCTGTTTGATGTTCGCCTTGTGAAAACATTTGAAGCTATTTGTTTGTATTCTGGTTTGAACAATAATCCAACTGTGGGACAGTTTGTAGATGCCCTGAAGACTAACATCATGAATGCACTTGCTATCAGAGGTCTGTGTGGAACTGTTTGTGAGTATGATGGTGCTACTGTTGTGGGTAACCTGTAGTCATTGTTCAGGGCACATGAGGCTTCTTCACTAAATCTGTCCACAGGTCATGGCAAGGTAACCCTGATGAAGTTCCTGAGTTTCCATGTTACTCAGCAAGTACAGAAGGACATGGTTGCTGCAGTTCATGCTGGTGACATGGAAGTGTTCTCAGTAGCCCATGTCAGTGGTTCCATTGCCAGACACGTGCTTCGTGGTGTCAGCTGTGATGCATGCAAAACATGCCTGACATGTGAAGTGCTGCTATCAGCCAATGTCTTTATATATTTCAAGGAGTGCAGTGATACAGTACAGCCTCTCACCTGTCCTTCTAAGAAGTTGGTGTGGAGACTGTTGGTATGCTGTAAATCTATGATGGCAGGCAATTCAATTCATATTGCAGCATACCACAGCTGCCATTAAGAGCACCATTGACTTGGAGAGGATTAGGTGTACTGGTTGTTCACTTCACTACCAACGAATAGTAGATGGTATTGTGAGATGTCTCACAAGAATTTACATTCCTTGGTGGTGTAAGCGAACAAACAGGTTGATGATCGAAGCAGATAGGCAGAGGGCTACAAAGAGGAAGATTAAGATAATGACTCATCAGTAAGTCATTAAGAAAGTAATGCGTCTTCATCTTTGCCTTGCAATATACTGCCCATACCAGCCCTGGAAATCAGCAGAGAGCAGTTATTGAATTACTCGAATAATATATTCCAATTGCTCACATGAGTATCAGTAGATCTTACATAAGTTGGAGAAAGTAACCCTGGTGACAAGCAACTGCAACTACCATGCCTTCACATGCTCTTGTATGGAGTAATTTGTTGATAACATTGTCACCTTCAGTCATATTACATACAAGAAACCTATTCTGATCTTGAGCTCCATCTCTTCCTTGCTTTGGAGACCTGTTTCCTTCTTCCCAGTATATTAGAACATCATTGTCAGAAGATGGTCAGAGTTCATTCTGCCCTGTGTCTGAAAATAATTATATTTCAATCAAGAATTGTGTGGGAAATTCTTTTCTGACTCAAATGGTTCTTGTTTATGTGTGGGTAAGAATGAAGTGGCATTACTTTATAGTTGACTTGCAATCTTCAGTTTACCTGATTCAGCATGAAACACCAAGGAGCAAAATCAATCTCAGGATTCACTGTGTATTTTGTAATTAAGTTTATTTACTACTTCCTAGGTAGGAAGTTTTACTTATTAGTGTTTACATATTTTATTCATCTAATTTGTTATTATGGGTATATCCCTTCAGTCACTAAATTATTTTGGCCACATTACTGTGTTCAGCATTAAACTTGTGAACATAAATATATATACATCAGACTTTCAAGGTTCATTATATTCCTTCAGTTATTTTATTATGCTGGCCATATTATTGTGTTCAGCATTGAACTTATGAACATATATATATACATACATACAGCTGGAATTAGAACATCTTCACTTAGAAAATTATAATTTAGGTGCTAGATACTGTAGGAAAACACTGGAGAAAGGAGGAGTGAGTATTTTTGTACATGAAAACCTAAAATTTACTAAAATAAATTTAGAAGATTATTGCAAAGACCAGGATCTGGAAGCATGTGCTCTAAAGTTAGACTCTCCTTTTTC